TGACCCACAACATGGCGTCGCGCGCCTTCGCGCGTCGATTATCGAACGCGTCTGCAAGCAGTCTATAGAGATCAGTGGGTAAAACAGTGTTAACACAACCAGACATAAGACCAGAAGCTTCAAGGGATAGTCAAGAAAACAAAGAAAACAAGATGTTCGTCAATTGGTGATCTTGTGCTGCAGCACAAGTTGCATTTTGAACGAATTTCGATCAAGGAAATGGCACATGTCTTCCAATATCTTAGCCTGAAATTTCACCCCTGTTGGCACGCTTCCAAAATCTTTGAGTAGGATAATTGACGTGAAAAAAATTATAAGATTTGCAATTATTTTTGGCACATTTATTTCTTAAGAATGGCACCCTCGAAAAAGGTCTTTGTAAAATTGTTACTTAGCATCTCAGTTTATAGAAACTGGAAAAAAAAAGAATAGCGTGCCAAAAATCGACCACTAACTTCCGAAAATCCGAAAATCTAAATTACATCGTGTTTAATTCGTGCAAAGAAAAATTTTAAAATAATTTAGTGGCGGTCATAACTGAAAGTGGACCCCGAAATTCGTTCTCGCACACATAATACAGGATTAACACAAAAACGCCCAGTTTTTAAAGGGTAGTCGTGTGGATGTTTCTATCCTAGTTTTAAATGTTCTTTCCGATCAACATAATCTCGTTCAAAGCGCGTTTTGTAGCCCAATTTGGCTGTTCCAGGACCTAGTGTCCCTTTAAGACGCACCGTTGGAAAGGCCTTCTTTCGTTGATTACTTCAAAATGATAGCTTGCCAGAAAGATTAATTTCACAGGGAGTTTAGTCCACTTACTATCTTTGAACCAAGTATGTTTTTCAACAATAATACGCCAGTTACTTTTTTGGATGGCTGCAAATGATAGACTATAGCTTTAAATAAGAGACTAACTTAGATATATGTTAGGATGTACATTTTTTTGAAATAATAGAAGGACTCTTTGCATTAATACAAACAAAATAATTATGAAGTGACCGCTGATAAGGACTGCATTCAAGCCAGCCCAACTAAATCTAAAACACATCGGCTGTGGGAAGGTCACCCCCTCCACCATTAATCACTTGTTGGCAAAATCGTGTCTGTTGACAAACATACCGCCACAAAGAGCGCCAACAATTGTCCAATAACATCCACGATCGTTTGCTTTCATTAGCGCCTCCAATAGTCAGATCACTCCCCAGCCCATTTTTGGGGGTTTTCTTGTTGCGACGATCGACTTACCGAAAAAGGTTCCGGCTGTATACCATGCAGCACAGAGGTATGCCGGCATATTCTTGCCCCCCCCCCCCCCCCTATCAGTCTCCCTACTTACCCCCAAGGCCAGTCTAGCTCCGTCGGGAAATGAACCACAAATTCAAATAACAGAGCAAGGGCTCGCACAACCGGCGTCGCTTGACGAGAGGTGAGGGGAGTGTCAACCAACCCCCAAAGTCGCCATTCTGTCTGCAAAACTCGTACCCCCGTCCTGCAAACAGGACGCTGGGAAGGGCTGATGAATTCACGCTCTGATTGGATAGATTTTGCAAGACCTGTGACCTGCAAGTCATCACGCGACCACGACCCTGCACAGTTTCAAACAGCCGTTAAGACTGATTCATTACTCTTTTATTCCAATTAATAAATGTTATTGTTTTAGTTGAAAAGCATTATAATGTAGGAAAATCTGTAAAACTTACCTGTGTTGTAAATTTGCGATTCCCGTCACTTTCTCAGGCTCCGTTTCGAATTCACGAAGGGTCAATCATTGCATTATGCGACGCTCAAAATGTGTCCACATAGTCCGCAATGAAAAAGAAATCACATCCGGTATGGAATGTGTGCATTTCTATGGGAAGTTTTCGGATAGCATTATTTACGCGCATTGTTTTACTGCGGTCTTGAACAGCTGCAGCCAGATGCTTTATATATAGGTCATAGGTCAATTCCTTCACAAGATTCTGTGAAGCTCATCAGTCCTTCCCAGCGCCCTGTTTGCAGGGCGGTGGGCACGAGCGAACCATGAAGGTAGCAGACCAGTAAATAAACTTCCATAGACCCCAATGGTGAATGCTCCCACTTCAGAAATTCGGGAAAAATACTCACAACTCTCCAAGGTGTTCGAGACACACATCAAATTAAAGCTTATTTCATCATCTTTCATTTTCTTTTCAATTTTTGGGGGGTCAACTGATGACTTTTAGGAGAAATTTCCATCTGAAGATGATCACCCCTGAAAATAGTCCTGAAGCCCATCGCCATTTTGAAAAACGATGCCTACACTCCATTGCAAAATAGAGCGCTTTTAGGGTCCAAATTTCATCCAAATTACACAGAACTGCAAGCTCCCAGTCGTGTTCACGGCTTCCACCCATATTTTTTTACAAACCCTCAAGTTCATGGCCCACAGCATGCTCAAATACTGAATATTTTGAGGGCATGCAAATCGTGATTTGGCCGGCGTAGGCAATTTCGGACCGATTTACTATTCCGATAATGTCCACGATCGTCCACGATCGTCTGCTTTGAACAGCGCCTCCAATAGGCAGATCGTTACCTCTGCAGCCCATTTTTTTTTAATACATGCACTTCGGGTTTAATTTGTGCCTAACGGAAGAAAAGGAGCCGAAACCACAATAATCATGGCTCGGGGGGGGGGGGGGACACAGAAAAGGGGGCTTGTGCTCGGAGGGGGGGGGCAATCGTTGTGGGTTTTTAACAATAAAGGGTCATTTGGTCTTCCCTGAGTTTTGAGCAGGGGAGGAGGAACAAGTGGGGCAGGGAACACAAGCATCGAGCGGCGGATGCCCCAGTTCACGTACGCCACTGGTGATAGCTGTATTATATTGAATTCGTGAATTTATATTGTATTTAATTTCGTGGTGGCTCTCTTACAAATCGCACAACAAAGCGTGACGTCATGTAGTCTCAGGTCGTTTAATTTCGAGTAATTTATCAAACGAAACCTGTTTAGCACCTATTCCGTGATATCAGAGAATCGACCCGGGCGTTGTAATTTGGGAAACAACCACCTGCTCTCATTAATATCATAATGAATAGTTTACAGACAACACACAAAGACGAATACCCAACAAAAAAGGGGTTATCTGATTAATTATTTTTTTCTAGTTTAAGTTGCTGGTTTGTGGGGAAAGGGATACGACAATGGCGTGTCACAAATCAGCGTTGTTTTAGTCATTTTTTTTTAGTTTCCCCGTTTAAAGGGAAGATACCACATTTGCAAACATCAACAAACGAAATGATCAAATTATTACTAAATACCTTACCGGATTGGTAGGGAATGAGAGTCTAAAACATCCTGTAAAATTGTGGCTCCTGGTGTGCTGACATTTGCAAGAAATATGGTTAGATGATATATGATAGCGTTGGGGAAAACTGGCTTATTTTCAAAACTGCTCCTAATTGTTCATATTCCGCATTTACTTTGCACTTTATTACACACCTGTGAAAAGGTACAAGCCTGCCAGACTGATTCTCTGACCTTACAATTCCCCAAAGTCTAAAAATTGCTCCGTTTCATCTCAAGTGGAGTCAGGGAACCAGACTACAAGAAAATGATTGGTTTTCTTGGTTTCTCCAGCATCTACAAGCCCAAAACGTGAAACAAGTCAGTTTAACAATATTTGCTATTACATTAATTTTTTTTCAAATCCATTCATTTCTGAAAATTGCAGCAAAAGCAAATGTTGTACATTCCCTTTATTTAAAATGAATGATATTCACCGACAATAGAATACTGATTAAGGTTTGAATGATTCATGGGTAATAACGTACCGTTACAGGTTTATTTCTGAGCTTTCAGGCATAGTGAAGTTCTGCATGTAGCCCTTTCAATATCTAGGATACGAAAGCCCAATTCAAAATAGGCTTTCTTTTAGCGTCCTTGGCTTTTTTCTTCGATTAATATAGCAATGAATGACGTCCACTAATGTGTAAATTTAAACGATTGACGTCACAGAACCGTGAAATATTTAACATTCAAATGTAAGGTTCAAATCAGAACTACGCAAAGCCATCAGTTAGTGATATTTATTACAAATGCGCGTTTTTTACCCAAAGGTATTTTTGTTGGGGTTTTCGCCCACCACATGGTATCAGTAATTCATGCCTTATGTTTAAAATGTGTATATAACTTTATTTCTTTAACATTTCTGAAATACTTGTATTTGTACACATTAATGTTTGTCGAGTGTTTCACCAAGGTACTTTTCCTTTTGATTTTAACTTTGCTTAACATTATGTAATAATTTGTATTGTATGCAGGGCCCCAGTGGATACCCTTGGTTTTTAACTGTTTGGGCAAACCCTGGGTAAAGAAATGGAATCAATAAATAAATATACAAATATAATATTATGTGCAATGAAATGTTCGCCTTCGATGACTGCAATATGCGCGCAGCACCCTGTAAACCCTTATAAAGGTGCTACATAATAGGTCTCATATTTCTCATAAACTTCATTTACCTGTCTTTAAAAATAGACGTAATTAGACCAGCGCCGTGAATGCGTAATTGTTGGTAGATACGTGCACTATATAAGACCGGGGTTCTGTCTCCCAAACGAGCAACACCACAATGGGTTATTGGTTGGTCTATAGTCTCGTCTGTTGACGAGTCAGTCTTCATTAAACCATAGAGCAAGGACTTTGCGCCATGATTTAACAGTTACCTAGGCAATGAACTTCGTCTGACATACACGAGATGGGTGTGGATAATGATATCCAATGTACTTGTATTTTGCCTGCAACGAGTTGAGCATCTATCAAGATGATGTAGTTGGTGTCTTAGTTCAGTTCGAGGCTTGAGTAAATTGAAGGATTTTGGTCTGAATCGACTCAGTCTAAACTGGCTGATCATAATGAGCGGTTCGGAATGCATTAGTACCCGAGTTATTTGTCCAGAGTGAAATGTTCCGAGAGAGGCGACACCTGCGCAGTGAAGCTTAATTTACGTAAGAATCCAATCCACTTCAAACACAACATGGAGGACATGTTTGCCTCAAATTCAACATCCGAAGACGTGTTGGTTGCTGAGGACCATTCCATCAACGTTCGATTCACTATTTTCCTCATCGCTGAAAGTTTAGTGTTTTTGCTCGGAGTGCCCGGTAACTGCCTGATTCTCGGTGTCTACTGGACCAAGACTCGTAAGACCAGCACCGATATTCTGATCAGAGCCCTGGCCTGGGCTGATCTGGCCGTCTGCTTGCTGAGAACGCCAGATATCATCGTAATTTCTCTACGTTTGGCCGGAAAGTATTTGCCGTATTCATTTTCTCGAGAGCTCATAGATGCTGTTATCACGGCATTTACAGACGCTACATTAGTCTCGTCATTCAGTATCACTGCAATGATTGCAGTCGAACGCTATGACTGCGTATGCCGTCCGCAAAAACGGATTTTCAAACCTCGACGGTCTAAGATAGCTGTTTTGGTCGCAGTGTTGTTTGCAATTGCTATTAACGCAGGACAACTTGTCCTGCATATCTGTAGAGCGTCAGGCACCGTACCGCCTCCTTTACATGTACATGTATATGGAGACATAGAACCGATTGTTGAACCAGTTTTATATGTGATTGCGTTAGTGACAATAGTTGCGTGTTACGGGAGGGTTTACGCCACCATCCGTAAACATGTCAAGGTAGGGCCCGCACAAGCGCCAACTGCACGAGATGAACACAGGCCGAGTGATCTGACACTCGAACGCCAGGTTATCTGCTCGACAAGACCGACACCACCTCCGCAGAATAATGATTTAAACTCTCGTGAATCATTTGTCGACGAGGCCGTGACAAGGTTCGTAAATACGCCAAGCACAAGTCTGACAACTGAAGTAGATTCCTACAAACGGAAATCCAGCGATGCATGCACGTCTGCTCACGTAGTATCGTTGGCACACCAAGACTCCTCTGGCCCTAGCCAACCCAATGTGATCGCCGAGCCCAAAGCTAAAACTGCGCCCCAAGACAACTCCCCATCGCAAAGGCAGAGTCGTCCAGAGCCTGGACACGCCCCTCAAAGGGTCGGTGCTGCCAAACTGCAGCGTAAGACAACCAGAATGCTTTTCATCACTAGTGTGGTGTTTCTCCTGACCTGGCTGCCCTACCTGATTTACGCCGTCAGATCGTACGCGTCTCCACATGATCAATTAGCGGAAATAATTGAGGATATTTCGATCACTCTTCTGATTAACAGCGTAGTTAACCCGCTGATTTACGGCATCGCAAACAGACGATTTAGGAAAGATTGTAAGGAAGTCATCCCCAAGATCAAATGCTGCAAATGCTCATAGTCACAGGAGTCTGTAATTTACTCTAATACACGTAAGACTAAGCACGAAACTTTCCAGGACCTTGATTATCTTGAAATCCGTGACCATTTGCAGACACCGGGAAAATAAAACAGCAGAATGGGAGAAAGAAAGCTTCGATTTATTTCCAAATGTCTGGAACAATGGCGACGTTGTAAACTCCAATAAGTTGTGGCAGTTTGCTGATCGGGTCTTATATACGAATCCCAAAATACTATTGAAACCGATGCCCTCGGTGCTAAGCCATTGTATGACATTGATGACCGTTGTTTTTAATCATCTCAACAAAAGACAGCACTGAGGCCTTCAGCTTCTGTACCAATTTGAAATCCCTCTACTCGTATTCATGAATTGTATTCATGATACATTGCATGGTTAGAATCACACTGACCTACGAAGCTATTGTCAACTTGACCACTGTCATTACGTTTACAGGTTCCATGTGGTACTTGACAGGGTGGCATATACCGTAGAAACGGTCATACGTGACGGCGGCCGCTAGGTTTACTGATACGATAAAGCAAATTCGTAAATAAGGTGTGTGGCACACACAATCGGTCCGCTTTCTAGTTAATGATGTTATAATCATGGATGTGCACCACATTTTGAAAGCACACAACGTGTCGCAGAAAGCTAAGTTACACAAGTACACATTGGTGACAGTTTGCATGGACTTGATCTGGCTAAACGTAGCGATAGCTGATATGAATGATGACCGTCGCGAAGAGCGCCAACTATTGCCTAATAATGTCCACGATCGTCTGCTTTGAACAGCGCCTCCAATAGTCAGATCGCCCCGCCCAATTTTTGATTGTGCGACAACCGACTGACCAGGGGAAAAACATCCTTCCCAAATTTCAGCACAGAGCCTGGTCTGCCGGCAAAAAAAAAGGAATTTGCCACCCCCTAATTGAAATGTGTCTGGCCACGCCCCTGACAAGTGTGTGCATGCACTTTAGGCTTGCTCCTTCTGCCAGTTCGACGATAGAAAAGGAGCCGCGAAGCCACAATCAGCCTTTTTACGAGATCCAGTGGTGGTGGTGGGGGGGGGGGGGGAGAATGGGGCCAGGCTCTTGCTCAGGAGGTGTGCACGTCAGTCGCACTTATTCGGGCAGTTAAATTTTAACCAGCACACAGGCAGAAAGAAATCGGGTATCCATTAACCGTAATAACAGTGTTTTGTATTGAATCCAGAGCGCAAAAATACTGCACGACGGACCCGAGACATACCGACGTCACGCTTTGTTTACATGTACGCTTTCTTACTGGAGCCATGTGGCTCCCTTAAGAAGCGCACATGTAAACAAAGCGTTTGCGTGACGTCATTTTGTCTCAGTTCTTTTTTTTTTAATCTTGAGTAATTTATAAAACGACATCTGTTCTATACTTATTTCTTGATAATTGGGGAATCGACGTAACATATTTATAGACCTACGACCAAGGCAATGTAATTGGGGGGAAACCATTTGCACAATGATAATTATCATTACGAGTAGTCTACAGACAACACACAAATACAAATACAGAAACAAAATGGGTTTTCTGCACTGTAAAAAAAGGTTGGGCAAAATGGATTGATAATTCGACCAGAGCTGTCGAATTATCAACTGCCAATACACTCTTGGGCAAATTCTTCCACTCTTGGGCAAATTCTTCCCACTCTTGGGCAAATTCTTCCCAATCTTGGGCAAATTCTTCCCGACAGTTTGACAGTTTTTACCCAATTCAACCCAATATGAGGTAATTTCATTGCCCAACAGTATTTTACCCGACCTTTTTACGGTGTGATCAATTGTCTTTTTGTAAGTCAAGTTGCCGGATTGTGTAGAGGTATGTGGGAGGGGGTACGGGCAATGGGGCGTCTGAAAATGTAACTATCCTCCTTTTTGGTCATTTAGTGTCCACGTTATTAATATATAAAATGAATGACGTTAACCGGCGAATGGGAAAATTGCAAGGACCGATGAAAGTTTGAATGATTGATCGGCAATAACTCGCACCGGTATACTGAGTTTATTTTCTGAACTTTTAGGCTCATTTTGATGTGATTGGGCCTATTTAGCTTACTTGGTTTTTTTTCTTCGATTAACATAGCAATGAATGACGTCCACTAATGTGTAAATGATTGTCTGTTGCAGGACCGTGTAATAATTAACGTTATGTTCGTTAGCAATCTGTCAGCCTGAACCAGCCACGATCCGGTAATAATGAGCAGCAATACAATGTAGGCTTCGATGTCCGTCAGATGAGCAGCAAGACTAAGGCTTATTTGTCGTTGCAGTCTCGTCGCCGAGTCAGTCTTTCTTTAACCACAGCGCAAGGACCTTGCTTTATGAGTAAACAGTTACCTATAAGTAATGCACTGGAAACGCTTTTCCTCTGACAATCACTAGATAGACGTGGATAATGATATCCAATTATACTTGTATTTTACCTGCAACGAGCGGTGCATCTATATAGATGACGGAGTTAGTGTCTTGGTTCAGTTCGAGGCAGAAGGCTTTTGGTCTAAAGCAACACAATTTACCAACTGGTTGAAGTGAGCGGTTTGGAATTCATTCATATTATAGAGTTTTACCAGAGTCATTTGTTCGACTTCAGCGAATTTCAGACAGAGAGGTGATACCTGCACAGTGAAGCTTGACTTATACGTAAGAATCCAATCGACTTAAAACACAACATGGACAATATTTTCGCCTCGAATGCAACGCCCGAATGTGGGGTAGTTGCTGAGGATCATCCCCTCGACGCTCGATTTACTATTCTACTCATCGCTGAAAGTTTAGTTTTTCTGCTGGGGGTGCCCGGTAACTGCTTGATTCTCCGTGTCTACTGGACCAAGACTCGTAAGACCAGCACCGATATTCTGATCAGAGCCCTGGCCTGGGCTGATCTGGCCGTCTGCTTGCTGAGAATCCCGGCGAAAGTAATTTCTCTACTTTTGACCGGAAAGTATTTGCCGTGTTCATTATTTCTAGGGCTCACAGATGCCTTTATCGCGGCATTTAATGACGTCACAGTAGTCTCGTCATTTAGCATTACTGCGGTGATTGCGGTAGAACGCTATGACTGCGTATGCCGCCCGCAAAAACGGATTTTCAACCCAAGACGGTCTAAGGTAGCTGTGTTGGTCGCAGTGTTGCTTGCAATTGCTACGAGCGCAGGACAACTTGCCCTGGATGTCTGTAAAGCATCAGGCACCATTCCTCCTTCTTTACAGGTATACGGAGAGATTGAAGAGATTTTCAAGTCAGTTTCAGTTGTGATTGTGTTAGTGACAATGGGTGCATGTTACGGGAAAGTTTACGCCACCATCCGTAAACACGTCAAGGTAGGGCCCGCACAAGCGTCAACTTCACGAGATGAATGCAAACCGAGTGTCGAACGTCAGGTTGTCTGCTCGACACGACCGACACCACCTCCGCAGAATAATGAGCTGCCGACACGTGAATCATATGTCAACGAGGCCGTGACAAAGATCGTTAATCGAAGAAGCACATGTCCGACAACTGAAGTAGATTCCTACAAACGGAAATCCAGCGATGCATGCACGTCTGCTCACGTAGTATCGTTGGCACAGCAAGACTCCTCTGGCCCTAGCCAACCCAATGTGATCGCCGAGCCCAAAGCTAAAACTGCGCCCCAAGACAATTCTCCATCGCTGAGGCAGAGCCGTCCAGAGCCAGGACACGCCCCTCGAAGGGTCGGTGCTGCCAAACTGCAGCGTAAGACAACCAGAATGCTTTTCATCACCAGTGTGGTGTTTCTCCTGACCTGGCTGCCCTACCTGATTTACGCTGTCAGATCGTACGCGTCTCCACATGATCAATTAGCGGAAATAATTGAGGATATTTCGATCACTCTTCTGATTAACAGCGTAGTTAACCCGCTGATTTACGGCATCGCAAACAGACGATTTAGGAAAGATTGTAAGGAAGTCATCCCCAAGATCAAATGCTGTAAATGCTCATAGTCACAGGAGTCTGTAATTTACTCTAATACACGTAAGACTAAGCACGAAACTTTCCAGGACCTTGATTATCTTGAAATCCGTGACCATTTGCAGACACCGGGAAAATAAAACAGCAGAATGGGAGAAAGAAAGCTTCGATTTCTTTCCAAATGTCTTGGACTATGGCGACGTCGCAAACTCCAATAAGTTGTGGCAGTTTGCTGATCGGGCCTTATATACGAATCCCAAAATACATGTACTACTGAAACCGAGGCCCTCAGTGCTAAGCCATTGTATGACATCCAGGACCGTTGTTTTTAATCCTCTCAACAAAAGACAGCACTGAGCTAGGCCCTCCGCTTCTGTGCCAATTTGAAATCCCTCTACTCGTATTCATGATTAAACTCCACCCGTGACGTCACCCTATTGTCCTAGCGCTCCATTATTTTGCACGAATGGAGCGTTGGAGGCGATACCTTCCATTCTTTTGGAATGTAATAAAGCCTCCATCACTCCATTCCTACAAAATAATGGAGCGGGAAATAAAGAAACACCAAAAATGACACAGTTATAGTTTTGCACAGTTGCAACTTTACTACACCGTTTCTCAATGATGATTTTATGCATTTTCTTATACATTTCGTACAATGCTTACGTAAGTCAAGAACCATTTTTTTTTCTCATACAGACTTTTTTCATAGGCCCTACACCGTTTCTCAAATGGAATTTTAGGCATCATTCGTACTTTTACGTGATAGTCAATAACCAATTTTTTTTATACAGTATGCTACACCGTTTCTCGAATAGAATTTTATGCATTTTCGTATACAATTTCTTACAGTGTTGAGGCGAAAGTCAAGAACCATTTTTTTCTTGTACAGAATCTTCGCACAAAGTAATGTTACATGTAACAATATAAACGTTTCAACGATATAAATGTTTCACAATTAAAGCAGATGTTTTGACAAGGTTCGCAGTACAATTTATATCTCAATCTTGTTCCTGGGTTTCAATGCCTAGCATGCAGTCCTAGAAATTCTTGATCGGCAAGAACTCAACATCCTGAAGAAATGTGTAGGTCTTTTCCATGGTGTCCAAGAAAAGTTGAAGGAAAATCACAAGTTCGTGCAATGTAAATCTGGTCTGGAACAGTTGTAGCGGTTTTGCAAAAAAAAAACCACCAAAATCTTAATCTTGCAATTTTGAGTGGTTTTAGCTCGTCCTTCCTTGTCCAATGATGAGTAGTTTGACTAGTCTCGAGTTGCGTTGGTAATGCCGTCGACGAGGTAGTCCGACTGGAGACTGCCCGCTAGTTTTGACCCTCTTCGTGACACTATCCACAGACTGCATGGCCAGAATTAGAAGAAAACAAAATCAGAAATTAGTTTTTGGGGTCAAACAACAAGACGGAAGCATAAGTTCATATTCCTGTAAATCCACTTAAGTCTTACAAAGCCGTAAAAAGCACAGGGTAGTGACGACACAGAAAGCTTCAAATTAGAACAGTTTTAGTGCAAACACGATGTCTGAATAACCTTTATCGGATAATAAATTAAAGAATAAAGCTTACTGCTATCTGACATTATCATGCTCAAAATACAACATTTAAATTTTCTGATTTTATTAGCTGTTATTTCTACTTAACAAAAAGGGTACTTCTTACCTTTATACTCATACATGTAATCTTCCTGTTCATTTGGAGTGTCGAGATGGTCTTTTATATCTTCCAGGCAAAATTTGAAGCGGCCGGCAAATTATTATCCGATATATCCATGGAGCTAGTATCAGCACCGTATCAAAGACAGTTCCCTGGCACGCTTTAATTCCACTGTATCTCACGTATTATTATCATACATTCCATAACGTCTTGAGATTGAACACTGGGTGTCATCAGCACGCTAGTCAAGAACGAATGCATGGTGCCTGGGTGGGGTTTAGCATTTTATACCAAGCGCGCCTAGAATCCAGCATTGTATTGGTTACGTAAGAACATTACGCCAACATATACTATTCGCAGTACAATTCTGTACAATTCCATTTATACTAATGCATTTTACAGTTACGCAATGAGACAAAGCGTGTGTCTTTGTATGAAACAAAGTCGCTCCATTCGTGCAAAATAATGGAGCGCTAGAAACAATAGGGGGACGTCACGGGTGGAGTTTAAGTCGGATAATGCCGCTCGGTACCGCGCCATTCGTGGGTAAGAATGGCCCTCGGGCTTCGCCCTCGGGCCATTCTTACCCACGAATGTCGCGTACCTCAGGCATTATCCTTTACATAATGATACATTGCATGGTTAGAACCACACTGACCTACGAAGCTATTGTCAACTTGACCACTGTCATTACGTTTACAGGTTCCATATGGTACTTGACAGGGTGGCATATACCGTAGAAACGGTCATACGTGACGGCGGCCGCTAGGTTTACTGATTCGATGAAGCATATTTCGAAAATAAGTTGTATAACACACACAATCGTTCCGTTTTGTAGTTAATGATGTTATAATCATGGATGTGCTCCACATTTTGAAAGCACACAACGTGTCGCAGAAAGCTAAGTTACACAAGTACACATTGGTGACAGTTTGCATGGACTTGATCTGGCTAAACGTAGAGATAGCTGATATGAATGATGACCGTCGCGAAGAGCGCCAACTATTGCCTAATAATGTCCACGATCGTCTGCTCTGAGCAGCGCCTCCATAACAATAGTCAGATCGCTTTCGCCCAATTTTTGATTGTGCGACAACCGACTGACCAGGGGACAAAAACATCCTTCCCAAATTTTAGCACAGAGCCTGGTATGCCGGCAAAAAAAATGTATTTGCCAACCCCCCCCCCCAATTGAAATCAGTCTGGCCACGCCCCTGACAAGTGTGTGCATGCACTTTAGGCGATAGAAAAGGAGCCGCGAAACCACAATCAGCCTTTTTACGAGATCCGGTGGTGGTGGTGGGGGGGGGGGGGATGGGGCTAGGCTCTTGCTCAGGAGGTGTGCACGTCAGTCGCACTTATTTGGGCAGTTAAATTTTAACCAACATACAGACAGAAAGAAATCGGGTATCCATTAACCGTAATAACAGTGTTTTTTATTGAATCCAGAGCACAAAAATACTGCGCGACGGACCCGAGACATAACGACGTCACGCTTTGTTCACATGTACGCTTTCTTGCTCCCTCAAGAAGCGCACATGTGAACGAAGCCTTTGCGTGACGTCATTTTGTCTCACTTCTTTTTTTTTATCTTGAGTAATTTATAAAACGAAATCTGTTCTATACTTATTTCTTGATAGCATAATTGGGAAATCGACATATCATATTTATAGACCTACGACCCGGGCAATGTAATTGGAGGAAAAACCATTTGCACAATGATAATTATCATTACGAGTAGTCTAACAGACAACACACAAATACAAATACAGAAACAAAATGGGTTTTCTGCACTGTAAAAAAAAGTTGGGCAAAATGGGTTGATAATTCGACCAGAGCTGGTCGAATTATCAACTGGCAATACACTCTTGGGCAAATTCTTCGCAACAGTGTGACAGTTTTTACCCAATTCAACCCAATATGAGGTAATTTCATTGCCCAACAGTATTTTACCCGACGTTTTTACAGTGTGATCGATTTTCTTTTTGTAAGTCAAGTTGCTGGATTGTGTAGAGGTATGTGGGAGGGGGTACGGGCAGTGGGGCGGCTGAGAATGTAACTATCCTTCCTTTTTGGTCATTTAGTGTCCCCGTTATTAATATATAAAATGAATGACGTTAACCGGCAAATGGGATAATTGCAAGGACCGATGAAAGTTTGAATGATTGATGGGCAATAACTCGCACCGGTATACTGAGTTTATTTTCTGAACTTTTAGGCTCATTTTGATGTGATTGGGCCTATTAGCTTACTTGGCTTTTTTCTTCGATTTATATAGAAATGAATGACGTCCACTAATGTGTAAATGATTGCCTGTTGCAGGACCGTGTAATAATTAACGTTATGTTCGTTAACAATCTGTCAGCCTGAACCAGCCACGATCCGGTAATAATGAGCAATACAATGTAGGCTGTGATGTCCGTCAGATGAGCAGCAAGACTAAGGCTTATTTGTCGTTGCAGTCTCGTCGCCGCGTCAGTCTTTATTTAACCACAGAGCAAGGACCTTGCTCTATGAGTAAACAGTTACCTATAAGTAATGCACTGGAAACGCTTTTCCTCTGACAATCACTAAATAGACGTGGATAATGATATCCAATTATACTTGTATTTGGTCTGCAACGAGCTGTGCATCTATATAGATGATGGAGTTAGTGTCTTGGTTCAGTTCGAGGCAGAAGGCTTTTGGTCTAAAGCAACACAATTTACCAACTGGTTGAAATGAGCGGTTTGGAATTCATTCAAATTATAGAGTTTTACCAGAGTCGTCTGTACGACTTCAGCGGATTTTCAGACAGAGAGGTGATACCTGCACAGTGAAGCTTGACTTATACGTAAGGATCCAATCGACTTAAAACACAACATGGACAACATTTTCGCCTCGAATGCAACGCCCGAATGTGGGGTAGTTGCTGAGGTTCATCCCCTCGACGCTCGATTTACTATTCTCCTCATCGCTGAAAGTTTAGTTTTTCTGCTGGGGGTGCCCGGTAACTGCTTGATTCTCCGTGTCTACTGGACCAAGACTCGTAAGACCAGCACCGATATTCTGATCAGAGCCCTGGCCTGGGCTGATCTGGCCGTCTGCTTGCTGAGAATCCCGGCGAACGTAATTTCTCTACTTTTGACCGGAAAGTATTTGCCGTATTCATTATTTCTAAGGCTCACAGATGCCTTTATCGCGGCATTTAATGACGTCACAGTTGTCTCATCATTTAGCATTACTGCGGTGATTGCGGTAGAACGCTATGACTGCGTATGCCGCCCGCAAAAACGGATTTTCAACCCACGACGGTCTAAGGTAGCTGTGTTGGTCGCAGTGTTGTTTGCAATTGCTATGAGCGCAGGACAACTTGCCCTGGATG